ACTGTCAAAAGTTTCACCTTCCATGGATGCTGTGGTGGCGTTGGGGTTAAGCACAGCCCACGTAAGGAGGCCTTAATCCTCGATTCGACCATTGCAGGTTTGATTCCCAGCCTGATGATCTTTGCCACATGTTTCCCCCCCTCTCCTCGTTCTCTCGTTACTCACTTTCCTGTCTGACCACTTTCAAATAAAGTGGTCAGACTAGGGCCAACAAAACCTTAAAAAATATAAATAAAAAGTTTCGCTATCCAGCAGGCCAACTGGAAATCCCTTTGTGAACTCATAATGAAACAGAACATCCAACTGGAAGTGTAGAAAGTAGAAGAGAGATCGGCATCTAAAACCTATGAGCAAAAAACATAAAGAATGATGCAATTCTGACATTAGATGTACAAGAAGACCACAAGTGTACAAAGAAGACGTGTGCGTATGTGTTTATATGCAACAAACAAGACAAGCTGCTTTAACTTATGCTGCAAAAACAGGACATTCAGGGATTCTTTTTTCTACTTACTCATTGAGATATAGGTCAGGCATACACTCACACACACACGCACTCAGTCGGATATAAGCAGTATAGAAACTGATTATTTTTCTGTCTCAGCTGCTCAGACAGCACAGAACATACGGCAGAAATTGGCCAATTGGGACACTAAACACAAGCTGCGCGCTCCACAGAAGCAGAGGAAAATTGGGTTGAAGAAATTCTTTTAATTGCTGACAAAACGGCAGAAATCTCTCCTCCGCTTGGACTCGGATGAGGAGCCACCCGCCCACATGGCCTGTGCCTCGCCATGAAAGTTCCTAAAGCAGGTGCTAAATACAATCAGAAAAGCTCCTTCATTAGCTAACGAAGCGACGGTTAGAGATCAAGGTGGCACGTCGCCTCCGTCCGCGGCGGCCCGTCACATCTGTGCCCCATCGAAACCGTCTTTTCCCTCTACAAGGTGAACTATTTGAGTCGACCTGCCCCGTTTGATCTGCTGTGGCCTTTCAGACAGGGAGCTGGATCAAAAAGGTGCCAGCAGCTTGAAAGCAGCTCTACCTCTGTAGCTTGTTGCCCACTTCTCCTCAATCCTCCATCTGCCTCAGACACAAACTGCTTACAGCGTCACTCAGAAAAAAGCGGTGTTCTAAAGACCACTGCATACTAGAAGTGTTAAGTTTATTGCAACAGGATATCATCTCTCTATGTCTGTCAAAGAAGATTAGATTAAAACTTGTATTTTATCTCATATCCACAAGTCTGGCTATAAAGGAAAATGTCAAGTTATGTATTAGTTTGTTTAATTGCATAGAGGACATAAAACTTGCATAAAACATAAAAACACACCTTCCCTTCCCAGTATCTGAATATAAAAAGAGCACTGTTTTGCACCTGAACACATCCAGAGTGCTTATGAATGGAACTAAGTGCTAAAAGAAACGTTCTGCAGGGAAACTTTAAAAAGTGACACTGAGACTAAATATGGAGGAGTCCCAGCTATTGCTAGTCTGCTATTTGAGAACATTCTCAAGAAAGCTGGATGTCAGGGTATGCAATAAGGTATACATACCTAGAGTATGCTGATCATTACTATTAAAACATCTACATACATGAGTATGATTTCAATTTATCTGAAATATACTGTGGAGATATTCAGGAATCAGGGGTAGGATGGACAAGAACATTATTAAACGGTGGTGAGGACGTAATGCCTGGATATCATGCAGGCTTTAAGGTGCTGCTCTATTTAACATCTTAACTCTAGTGCAACTTTTACTGAAACACAGCATGCAGTAGGTAAAGGCAAAAGAAAAATCACCAACCTCAACCACTGTTAATGACTACCTACCTATATACCTATAAAAAATTATCAAAAATATATTTTTGTTTTAACTTTAAAGCTACTTTTCCTATTTCTTCCCGCACTTCAAATCACCAGTATCTGAATATAATAGCCTGTCACAGAGCTTACTAATGTATGCATATCAAACCAAATGTAACTTGAGTTTATAATCAAATGTGCATTCATGCTGGAAAACCTAACATTAAGCAACTTTACTACATCTATTTTATAAAAGAAGAAAGTCCAATTAGATCTGAGAACTGCTCTTCTGTAAAATAATCAGATTCCAACAGCAGCTCAATTAGACTATGTTCATGTTTTGTTGTGAAACACCAAAGTACCTTACTGCCCATCGTCAACAGCACCAGCTCATCAGGAGAGAACTTGGCTCTCACATTGCTGGGTCGGCACTTCACTTCCCACTGGGCCTCTAAACAGTACTTAAACGTAGATTTCTGAAGTGCCATGTATAAAAAGCTCTTGGTTTAATGTTGGTTTCATTCCGTCCTGTAGTAGCAGTTATGGCGGTGCACGCCTCCTGTGGGCGTTTATCAGACTAAATAAACTTAAAGCGCTTTTATTGACGTGTTCTATAAAAGTACAGTTCTATAATCTGTGCTGCCTCCTCTGCCTCCCCGCGTCTTTGTTTGTTGCAGCCTCTCTGGGCGAGGAGCAGCGGCGTTTGTGTCGATTCTCTGTGGCTCTCATCTCAGTCAGGGTCTGAGGCAGTTGGGCGGAGACCCCCACTACACCACCTGACCCCCGCACACATGCGTGCACACATTTGCTTTAGCTTAATAAAAGCTTCCCAAATGTGGGCAAGGTGTGGGCAACATGTTGGATTAGACAAATCCAACACGTATATTTAGCTAAAGAAATCTTCAAAAAAACAACATTTAAACGTAAAAAAAACAGCTGAGCTTTAGATGAAATGTTTAGTTCCACTATCTTCACTTTTAATAATTTGCACGCTTCATATGTGCGTGGGAAGCGGCAAACTTGAAGTCCCTTTGACGGAAATTAGATACAGCACCCACATATCTACATAACACATTAAAAGATTGATCAGAGCATAGCAAGAAGAGGAGCTTCTATGTTCTAAGAACAAATGAATAATACAAGACTCCGAGAATAAACTGGGTAATTGGGTTAAAGGCAGCTCAGAGGGTGTACAGCTCACCGCTGTTGCCCGAGTCCGACATTGACTCATTAGAGGTTGAAAACCTCTGTTTAAAAAAAAAAATCCCTCCTCTCTACGCTCACAGGTGCAACAGCAACTCAAATGTTCCCTGCGGTCACGGTGTCATCGGCGCAGCAACAAACGCAGTCGCTCCGGGTGTCACGCCTCGGCTCCAAAGTGGAGGTGATGCTCAAGCATTCTGCCTTATCAAGGAGTCCCAGGGCAACAGTGTCATTATGACACATGTACTTTAAAAAATAAAATAAAATCTCACATGTCCTTGCATTGCATCTCCTCCACATCAGCTCACTCTCACTCATCCTCCTGAGCTCAAACCCCAAGAGGATGGAAGTAGAAAGAGACGAGTGGTTTGGGGGTGGAGGATGAGTAGGTATGTTCAGAATACGAAAGGGAAGGCTTTCCATTTTTCCCTCTCCGTACAAACACATCACCTAAAGATATTTTTTTTTATTCCTCCTCCTTCTCTTTTTTTTTCTGTGTGCTTGGCAGCCAGACCAGTGGCTTGTTGCCCGCATAGTCTTTCCAAATCAGCCCGCACCTACGCACATCACACAAGTCAAAAATTCATAAGGTGACACAAAACTGTCAGCGCATGTTGATGCGACTTCCGAATGATGGCAAAATGTTTGGATGAATGAGGGGCAGCAAACACACACACACGTACACACCCACACAGGTCCCTATAAAAATAGAAAAACTTGGTTCACATAAATGCACACGCATGCACACACAATTCCAGAGTGAACCAGACTCCAGAACACTTAAACAGGGGTGCCGCCATAAAGTTTACAAAGGGGTGGTTGATTAAATGATAAAGATAATTCAAAGCTTTTTTACAATGGTGAAGGCTGTATATTAATTAGGTGGTGGGCACCAGAGGAGAGTGAGGAATTTAAAATGCTACAAAAAGTGAAAACTAAATTAACAGAGTACATTAAATAAATCAGGGTTTAAGCCAATTTTTAATATGATGTCCTGACCTATAAGGAATACACCAAAAAATAAATATGAAGTAAATCTATTAGAACACTTTTAAACTAATGTTTAGGTTCAAAGTCTCAAGCCAAATTTTGTCATTTCTAAAGGAAGCTCAGCAGGTAGTTTAACATCACTTTCCAGAGCAAACTTAAAAACATCTCACACCTTACAGCCTGATGCATCTCCAGAAAAAAAATAAATAAATAAAAAAACATGAGAGGGAAAAAGATGATGGATGTGGAGGAGATATATGTGGCGATATATCTGCTCCACAAATACCTGATGTGGAGCAGACATATAATTAATTATGAAATTCCCAGTTTCTTCCTCCCAGTCAGTGACAAATTCAAAGAGGTGGTCACCCTGCCTGCCCCTCATCTTAGCAGCGCCTCTGCAAACAAAATAGAAAATTAATTTTAGGGTTTCCAAGTTGGCTGGATGCCTTGAGTGAATTTCCATTTATTCAGCAAACCACACAACTACTTCGATGCACCAAACTGACACAAAACGAGCCCGACAACTCACGTCCATGCATTCTATATTAATACACATCCACTTTGCATACAAATTCCGCAGTGACCTGAGAGCAAAATTAAAGACCCCTCCGCCTCCTGCAAACAACTTGCGAAATTCCAGCTAAAACAAAACTGGAGATGTTCAGTCCTGTGGAAGATCCGCAACCTTCCAGCGTGCGTTACTGGCTGCTTTCGCCCCGTGTGCGCAGCGACAAGCCGGAGCTGCTCGTTCAAAGCGGCAAAGTGCAAAATGTTGAAAATAAAATAAAAATAAAAAATTAAAGGAAAAAGAAGGAAAAGAAGACAAAAAATGTTCCGTCGGAGTAGAGCATGTTGGTCCAGGTGAAAACAAGAAAGCGTCATTCGGGAAAAAAAACATAAGATAAGGAGAGACTGGAGGTGGTGAGGAATGGAAAAAATGATTTAAAAAGCAAAAACAAAAAAAGTAGAGGGTGGGAAAAGTTTGCCTGTACTTACTTATTAAGCCGTGTTTTGTATTATCCCTGCTTGGCATCATTTCTTCTTTTCTTCAGGATGTCAGAGTTGCAGCAGAAGACGTTTCCATTCCCGCACGGCTCTTCAGAGAGCAGCAGCAGCAGCGGTTCAAAAAGCTCAGCTCTGCAGATCCGTGCGCACAGGAGAGCAGCGCTCAGCATGAATGAAACAGGAGCTGCGGCTGGACTCCGGCATCCCCCTGCTACATACGGATGAAGAGGGAACCGGGAGAGAGAGAGAGAGAGATGGAGAGCTTAGTGAACATGCGCCCCCCAGTGGATCCGGTACTTTACATCGTCGGTTGCACGACGCACTTCTGCCAGGCGCGCATTGGTGGCAGCATTGGACCCGTTTCAGTCTGCGGCTCCGTGAGCTCCTTATCCCCTCCTTGTACTCCGGTTTTAGGCTGTCTGACAACAATCAGGGTCTGTGATTGAAGATGCTTCCGTTCAGCTTGACTGATTGCACCTGTCATCTCACAGAGCGCAGATATGTGCCCCTGTTCACTCTTTGTTTTCTTTGCCTCTTGCGTTGTTTTTACATCATAGTTTCCAGGGGCAAGGCTCGGTTTGAGCTTCTGATTTTACAGTAAAAGTAGCCTATAAACACATGGTCATTAACATCATATTGCAAAAGTATTCATACCCTTTGACCTCCTTCTAGTTTGTCATGTTAACCACAAATTGCAAATCTATTTCAATAGGATTCTACATAAGTCAACCCAAAGTAGGTACACTATGATTTATTCAGATATTCAGGCCCTTTTACTCTGATATTCCCACCTACAGGCTCTGTCAACTCACATTTAAGAATCACTATAAATGGAATGTAAGACCCATATCTACACAGAAATGTACAAATTACAGACTATTGGCAATAAAATCCACGGATCAACTGCTCAGGTAGAATAATCTATTATGAAAATTAGAACTGTTGGCTGTACTCTGCACAAATATGGTTTATGAAGAAACTGTAAGTGGAAAAAAAATAGTTGAAGGAAAGCCACACCGTGGCCAGAAGATCAGGCCAGATTTGGTTTCAGGAAACTGCAGTGCATCACCATAAATGCATCATTCCCACAGTGAAACGAGGTGGTGGCAGCATCATGCCTTTCTTCAGCTGGGACAGAAAGACTCAAGGAGGGAAAATACAAATGCATGCCACACTTTAAAGAGTTGTATTCACAAAACATTTTTAAAATCATGTGTTTCTTTCCACTCAATAATCATGTACTTCTTTGTGTTTACTTTATAAATTCGAACGAAATATTTTGAAGTCTTCACTTGCAACGTGACAAAATGAGAAACATTTCTAAAGCTCTGCTTGAACAGAAAAATATGTGCAGCTCGGTGCTTGTGAGCATGCCCACTCTGTGTGTGCCTGCTTCTTTTCAACAGCATTTAATGCTGAAGGTCAGCTTCCCTCGTCGAAACTCAACAAATCATCTCCATCAGCAGTGCTGGCCTTGTCTCTTACCTCATCAAACATTTGTGGCTGGCCATGTCTCATTTAGACCAAGATGACTTTTATTGTTTTTCAGGCCATGAAAGTAATGGGAAAAAAGAAAATCAGAAACACTTAAATTAAAAAAGGAATATCTGAATTTTCCTCCTGCACGTGCAACATTATCCACATTACAGGAATTAATGTTTCTGTTGCTTGTAAGAAACAGACACATAGTTTTTGATTGTTGGCTTCCTAGGTGACATCACCAGGATATAAGGTGATTTAATTGTCCACAAAACACTGCTAGTTCACAAACATCTCCACTTCAGTCCAACACTCAGCAGCTATAACCTCACAGAATACAAATAAATCTACAGTTTATCTTTAATTCTTAAAGCTGTAAGTTATTTTCAGTGCTGTGTTTAGAAACATTTGGAAGAAATTGAAAAGAAGGATCTTTCTACAGTCCATAGGGGCCAGCTCTGTGAGACAACCTGCATAACTTACAGACAATCATCCTTAATGCCATCTTAATTGGTATAGTTGAATTTTAAGTGCACATTTTAAAACATCTCTAGTGTTAAGCGCAAATGAATGAACCATGTCTGATCAACCTATTCATTCAAACCATGTTTTACAGTGTTTGGGGTCATCAAGGTCTGACCTTGTTTCACCATCAAAGTCCTAAAGCTTCAGATGCACAAACTGATTGGCCATGCAGAAATATGGAGTCTATACGGTTCCAGAGTCTTGCAGCAATGCATAGGTAATTAAGTATTTTTAATGACCAATCCGATTTATAAACAAAGCAATTATAAATCAGAAACTCCAGCAAAAGGGGGCTGTGTAGAATCAGAGTGGTAATCTCAAACCTAGAGAGGAAGACGGACTCCTGCTGTGTACTTGAGGCGCAGCTCTTCTATACAAGCACAAGATTTTTTTTCCAGCTACTCCTCCCTCATTGGCCAGGACTTTGACCTTTGCAGTCCCCTTGTGAATATTAAATGCTGATATTCCTTCCCATATTAGTGATGACTGGGGAGTTTTTCATCCAGGACAATGGTGGTGTCACGTTCTCTTCTCTGCACACTGAGGAAGAGGATGTGGTTACACAGATGATACATCGCAGCTCCAATTACTGCATGTGTGCATGCTCATGTGCATGCATCTGCTTGTGTGAACATCCTTTCTTGCAAAGTCCCAAGATTTTCTCCTTTTTCTTTCTTCCTTCTTCCTGGTTTTAAAATGTGGCATCGCCGGGGTCTCCAGGTTCATCGCCACATTGGATTTTCAGACTCAGTATGTCATCAAAGGTACATCTTAAGGTTGGTCACAGTTTGCAACCTCCCTTAAGAATAAATATTATTTTGCATATGTGTGTTAAAATATACTGATTCAGAGTGGCTTCATTAACCAAAACCTCTTAGATAATTCAAAGATACAGAGTGTAAGATTAAAAACAGTATTTTTCATTTAAGACCATTTTATTTTTAGTATAAAACCATGCATTAATGTTAAAACAGAAGATAACTCACCCGCTCTACTTAAAACCAAAAATTTACATGTAACACTTTGAAAAAAATATTCGCAGAACTTTTCAAACATTTAGCATTTTTCTCTCTCCTCCTCCATTGCTACTTCCATTTGAAGAATAAGCCTCTTTAACAAGTGGCATTAATTTAACTCTTAAAATGCAGTCATTTTTGAAGTTACTACATGTGAACATGTACTTGTATCTCCCCAGAACACATTCTTAGCAGGTCGCTGTTGCTATCATAGTTACACCAGTAGCATTTCAGCTAAAATGCTACTGAAGGATGCTTTGCACAGGGGTCACAGGGGTCACCATAAATAAAAGGAGTTTATGTCTATGGGTCAAAGTATCAACCATCTTCTGCTTAAAATCGGATGAATTACCTATTTTTTTTTTTCAAATGGGAATATGTTACTTTACAAATGTGATGTATTTAGATAAAATTACATTAAATTAAAATAATTTGAAAGACTGTCTTTTTCTCCTCTTTTTGCCCTTTTTCAACAAAGGTTGTACATCTAATACTTTCTGTTGTAGTGATGTAATAATCTCTCAATAGGTTCTTTGACAAAGTAACCTAATCCACCTTTTAAATAACATTAAATACATCAAACATTTTCTCAAAACATTAATTTTTGCCTTATTTATTATAAGCCAGCTGGTGTTATTTCTTAAAAGGTCTTTTATGATAAGGTAAAGTTAAAAAAAATATTTTCCAATAAAAAAACACAAAAAAACATTCTCGTTAAAACTGTTAGAATATCCGTTTTTACTTGCTATGTTTATCAAAGGGAACGTTCAGTGATATCTGCAGGTCACTAATCATAATTTTACCAAGCAATATGCTATTCATTTGGATATCAAATCAACCCAATGTGTGACCAGAATTGATAAAGCTACAAAGTTCATTATAAACCAGTGAATTGCTCTCCCAACTCCAGAGTCATGACTTTTGAACCAACAAGCAATCCAATGGCTTTTGCCCAGCAGATGAGCTACAAAAATAACCCAGCATTTCTATGAGTAGGTAATCAACTGGAACTAAAAATGAAAACAGAACATTTTTGTTCTTGCTAGTGAAAATAAATAGAAAAAAGACATATGTAGAAATGCTCCTGTTTCTTACGGCTTACAAACTGAATTTATACAGAACTCAGAGGTTCTGTATAAATTCAGAACCTCTGAGTGGCTTTGCTCCCCAACACGGCTCTCATTGTGCGCGGCTCGTCAGCGAGCAGTCGAGCATAGTGTGAATGAAAACGTTTTCCACTTGCTTCACAATCTCTCTCCTTCATTTTCGCGCTTGGCTTCTATCTTTCCCCATCTGAGCCACCTTCCAACAGAGCCTTGATCAACAACGTCCATTTCATTTTACAATCGCCAACCGACGCCAAATCATAATTAAAATCTCCACAGAGAGCTGCCTGCAAAAGAAGCTAATTAGCCGTTAAAATAAAAACTGTTTTTCTGCTGCAGATCTTTTTTTCCTTTTTCTTGCAGAGAGAGAGAGACAGTGATGAGAGAGAGAAGGTGATGAGAGTAGAGCTTTTCTTGACATAAAATCAACTTCCTTTAACTTTTATGTTTCAGAGTCGAGGCCTGTGTATCCGCATGTCAAGCCTACCTCTCTTTTTGTCTTTGATCAATCACAAAATCCTGAATATTTTTGTGATGTTTGATTCATCTGCTCCAAATGCAGCAGCAATTATAAAGACCAAAGTAAAAAGATGGAAGACATAGGCTGAAAGGGAATAAAAAAGTTCCAGAAAGAGTCCATGCAGAGAGGACGTTGGCAAATCAGAGAGACAGAAGAAAAAAAAGGGGAAAGTGGGCGTTTTTACTGCTGCAGCTCAAAAGATGACCAGGCGTCTGTGCTTCTGCTTTGTCCCTGCTTGATCTCTATCTCATGCGTGTTGAACACCCACGCTCACAGCACAGGTGTAACCACGCACACACACAGAAACACACACACAGGGCGAACAAAGGCCACGCTTCCTTCGCGCTTCCTCCTTTTGTCTTTTCTGGAGGCGTCTGTAATTACAGTCAGGCCAGTGATGAGCAGCAGGGGAGGCAGCTGAAGTTACGGCTAACTGGGAGATTTCAACCTTTGAAACTGTACATGTGAGCTGGAGAGAAACGCCAATAAATAGAAGTCAAAGAGAGAGCCATGGAGACGGTCTTTGGTT